TTCGTCGGTGGAATATTATCATTCTTGTGGCCTTTGTTTAGTTGGCTCTTTGATTTGGTCCCACACAAAAGTGGGTTGTTATCTAAGCCATAGGCATGAGCTTGAGAGCAGTGCTATGAAAGAGAGGACCTGTTAGATCTGAGGCCATGGTTAAACAAGTGAGTCCCATGTGTGCTCCTCACCTCTTGCCAAAGACCTGGAACTCTTTTCTGAGGTCACAGACTACCACCCCTAAACCTGGCCATCATCATCCCAGTATGTTAGCTCTTTCATGGGGGTCTGACAAATCTGTGCATGCCCTTTATTAGTCCTGAAAACATGAGAACACTGAGTGTTGCTGTCCAGTTAGTGCATGCCCGCAAACGTTCTCCTCTCTTCTTATGCTGTGGTGGAAGTAGCTGTAGATGAGACAGATGATCAGAGCTGACATCCTGGGATTTGGGAATTAAAAAAAAACAGGTCCTATTTTACTACCTTAACAGTCTTGTGACTTGAGCAGTTTTGTTTAACTTCTCTGGATCTGTTAAGTATTTTTAAAACAGCTTTATTGAAACATAATTCACATACCATACAATTCACCCATTTAAAGTGTACAGTACAGTAACTTTTAGTATATTTACAGTTGTCCATCCATCACCACAGTCAGTTTTAGGCCATTTTCCTTAGCCTCAAGAGAAACCTTATATCTAGCTGTCACTTCCCAGTCCCCCCACTCCCTCTAGCCCTAGGCAACCACTAATCCATTTATGTCTCTGTAGATTTGCCTATTCTGGACATTTCATATAAATGGAATCATACCATATGTAGTCCTTTGTGACTGACTTCTTTCACTTAACATAACCTTTTCAAGGTTCATCAATGTTTACCATGTATCAGCACTTCATTCCTTTTTATTGCCAAATAATATTCCATTGTATGGATATACTGGATTTAATTTGTCCATTCATCAGTTAATGGACGTTTCACTTTTTGGCTGTTATGAATAATGCTGCTATGAAGATTCATGTACAAGCTTTTGTGTGGACATATTTCTCTTGAGTATATATCTAGGAGTAAAACTGCTGGGTCACGTGGTAACTCTATGCTTAGCTGTTTGCAAGACTGTTTTCCAAAGAGTTCACAGCATTTTATACTCTTCGTTTTACAATATATTAGCATTCTAGTTTCTCTTTATCCTCACCAATACTTATTTATAATCTGACTTTTTTATTGTAGCCATCCTAGTGGATATGAAGTGGTATCTCGTTGTGGTTTTGATTTGCATTTCCCTGATGGCTCGTGATGTTGAGCATCTTTTCATGGCCATTTGTATATCTTCTTTGGAGAAATGTCTGTTCAGATCTTTTTCCCATTTTTTAATTTGGTCATCTGTGTTTTTATTATTGAAGTGTAATAGTTCTCTATATACTCTAGATACAGGTCCTTTATCAGACACATGAGTTGCAAAAATTTCCTCCCATTCTGTGGGTTGTCTTTTCACTTTCTTGATGGTGTCCTTTGAAGCACAAATGTTTAAAATTTTTATATGCCCTGTTTATCTATTTTTTTTTTCTTTTATTACTTGTGCTTTTGGTGTCATATGTAAGAAACCATTGCCTAATTCAAGGTCATGAAGATTTTACTCCTGTGTGTTCTGAGTTTTATAGTTTTAGGTCTTACATCTAAGTCTTTGATTCATTTTAAGTTAATTTTCATATAAAGTGTAAGATAGGGGTCCAACTTCATTCTTTTGCATGTGAATATACAGTTGTCTTACCACCATTTGTTGAAAAGATTATTCTTTCTTCATTTAATTATCTTGGCACACTTGCTGAAAATCAATTGATCTAAAGTATGACGGCTTATTTGAACTCTCAGTTCTATTCCATTGATCCATATGTTTATCCTTATGTAAGTATCTCATACCACATGCGAGTACTGCACTATCTTGATTCCTGTAGCTTTGTAGTAAGTTTTGAAATCAGGAAATCTGAGTCTTTCAACTTTGTTCTTTTTTTTTCCAAGATTGTTTTGGCTATTCTGAGTGCTTTGAATTTCTATATGAATTTTAACTGTAAATGGAATTGTTTTCTTAATTTCATTTTTGTTTTGCTCATCACTACCGTTTAGAACTACAATTGATTTTTGTAGATTGATCTTGTATCCTGCAACTTTGCTGAACTCGTTTATTAGTTCTCAGTTTTTTAGTGGGATTGTGTCATCTGAGACTAGAGATAGTTTTACTTTTTCCTTTCCAAGCTGGATGCCTTTTATTTCTTTTTCTCGCCTAGTTGGCCTGGCTAGAACCTCCAGTACAATGTTGAATACAAATAATGAATAAAAGTGGAATGTTTAGTCGTTTTAAAATAAAGTCCTAGGTCCAAAATCATTCATAAATGTTAATGGTTGGTGACATTGTAAAGGCACACAGTCTATAAGCAGTGAATCTGAGATGCTGATAAATGTGTACACTCATAGTTTCTATTTCTCCTGGTAAACATTAGTCAAACATGGTCATTTCTGCTAAATAGTTGTCTTATAACAAGTTGATTTTTGCAATGAAAATTTAGATTAATTGGAGAAATCTATAAAATCCATCTTTCTCCCCAGTTCAATGAGCAATATGCTTACAGACTCTGAGGACAGGTAAAACATGGTCCTTGCATGATAGATGAATGAATGTAAACAGTCAGTGTCCCCATGTTTCTCATGCGCCTGGAGTGCCTCTGCTTTTTTAACCATTCAGAGTAAAATAGAGGAACTTCGGTGTTGGAAGAGACTATCCTCCCTCGTTTTTTAAATGAAGAAATTGTTTGATGGAGGTAGAATCCTGGCCAAGGTCACAAATGTCCTTCCCAAGAGGGACATGATAGGCCCTCAGTTACTGGTTAGTTGAGTGAGTTAGACCTGAAAGGGCCCTTCAGAGCTTCCCCTGCATTTGGGGTGAGAACTGATAGGTTCTAAAGCCTCAGTGGTCACCTGGCTCTAAACCATGTGCAGTTGAATTCCGCTTCTGCTGTCTCCAAGGGATGCGTGTGGCAGCTGCTGTGCATCCGGCTGACAGACGTGACCTGATGGAGCCAGAGGGCTCTTAGAATCCAAAGCGGTCATCCCCCAGCTAAACAGCTGGTCTGAATTTATCTGTTCTTGCCAGTTTTAGTTTGGAATGGTAATCTCGTTTAGAGTTGCAGTGTGAGGATGGGGGCTTGGCAGGGCAAAGCGATGTTTTAGTAGTGTACTCTTTAAATCTTCTACCTAGAGGAGAATTCCTAGTAGGAATTCACTTCCTACTTCCTAGCAGGAGCACACTTATTGGACTATACTTTTTCATGTACGTTCTCTTTTAAGTCCGTTCCTCCTACCCCGTACCCTCTGTAATGGTGGTAGAGGAAGAGTGTGTGTGTGTGTATGTGTTTAATGTCACAGAGGGATTGGAGGCCCAGAGAGGTTACTTGCCTAAAGTGGTATAGTTAGTGTACTGAGGGGAACTGGCAGAGGAGGAGATGAGCATTGTACTTGGAAGAGGCCCTGACTTACAAGTTAGGATTCTTTCCACTGTTTCGTAGCTGCTCGAGAATGTGCAGTTTGTGCACACGAGTTCTTAGGTAGCTCTTCTGGGCCTAGAAATGAAAAGCTAATAAAGAACTACTCCAGCGGTTGGGATCCAGTGCTGTAATTCTGTGACTTTTGGCTGGCGCTCATAGTTATGACCATTGGTTAATTAAAATGACAAAGTGCCCTGATAACTAACTGCTAATAACTTATTCTGCCATCATCACCTCCCAAGTAAAGACAAACCCTTGAACTCTCCTTAGAACTTGCTCCACCTAGGTCCTTACTATTAACATAGAACAGAAGCAGATGTTTGGAATTTAGAAGTCTATGTAATAAAGGTGTGTTTTTAAAGTAGGTAATTTGAGTAGTTTCAGTTGCCTTTCAGTTTGCTTAACTCTCTCTCTTTTCTCCTCTCTTTTCTTGGCCCATTTTGAACTCTGAGAAACTTGAAAGGCATTACATCGTACAGTAGTTACAGACACCTGGGTTTGAATCCAGGCTTTGCTGTTTACTATCTGTGTGATCTTGAGTTGTTTACTTAACCTCTCTGTGTCAGAACTTGTTACATGGAAAAGTAATAGCTCATGTCCTCATAGGATTGCAGTGATGATTAATACATTAATACATATAAAGTGCTCAGAAGAGTACCTGGGATATAGAATGTACTCAGTATGTGTTAGCTGTTTATTGATAAAAGTAGTCATAGTAGGAAAAATATTATCACTGCCACTGCTACTACTACCCTTACTACAACTCCAACTCTTCTGGTCAAAGTTGAACTACCTGTAATTCAGCTTATTTAAAAACAGAATTGAAGGCGTCTTTTCCGTTACACATACCTTCCTCTCCTACAGTTGGGGTGTTAAGGGACAAGGAGAATGAGGCCTGTTTCCAAGGGCTGCCATACAATCCGTTCCTGATTCCCCTTGATTGTGCTTCCTAAGCATCGAGGGACGTGTTCCTCCTTGACTGGATCCTGCCCAGGGCATTCCGAGCTTACTCAGTGTTGGAAAACCAACCAGATTCTACTCAATTGAACTAGATTCAAAGGTTAATTTTAGCCAGCCTGGGGACAACATGTAAAAGGAAAAAAACAGAGAACCCTCCTCGTTCACTTTCAGATTTTTCAAGATTGATTCTTATGGAAAACCCGTAACACAAATGTGGGCGTGAAGAGAATAATTTTCATTCCTTTAAAATTTAGATAGGAAACAGTCAGGTTGCCCCAAAAGTATTTACTAAGATTTGATGTGACGTGAATTTCTGTCTTACCTTTTTTTTTTTTTTTTTAACTTCTGGGAAGTTCTTGGCTTCCAGGAACTATAGCTGGAATCTCTTCCCATCTCTGACATGGTTCCAGAGGGTTAATATGCGGTTAATTGCGGTTAATATGGGACTAAGTAAATGTGCAGTTATTTTCCTCTTGGTTTGTCTTTAATGCTTCATTCCTTCCTCTCAATCTACAGGTATCTCAGATGAAGACATTATCAACATTACTCTTCCTACTGGAGTCCCCATTCTCCTAGAGCTGGATGACAACCTACATAGTGTTGGGCCTCACCAGTTCCTGGGTGACCAAGAGGCTATCCAAGCGGCCATTAAGAAAGTAGAGGATCAAGGAAAAGTGAAACGAGCTGAAAAATAAAGTCTTTCCCAAGTGTTGGCTTGGAATAGCTGCAAAAGGAGTGGCATGCAGTGTGTGCCACTGGTCTCTCTCTTTTTTTTTCCCTGTTTTTTCCAGAGCTAGGCTGTGGGGTAGAGTTTGTATAGGTAACTAGATAACTTATGTTGGCCCAGATAAAGGCTTTAGGATGCCTGAGTGCTTCTGTCATAAGCCTTATGAGTTAGCTCTCCTGCTAGCCCTGTTTGAATTAGTCACTAACTAGTAACTAGTGGGGCTTAATAAATATCATCAGTTTCTGAGATGGGAGAGTAACAAGTGGAGGTAAATTTTAAGGTATTTGTCATTCAATAAATTATTATCAAGTAATCATTGACAAGTACTACTTACTCTAATAAGTGGTTCCCCTTTGTATTTACTAAGACTTTCTGGGATGATAGTAAAGGATATTAGATAATACACTATACTTAAGTATTTATTACTAGTCTTTTCCTCTAGGAAAAGTGATACCTCGATAGTTAAGACCAGAGGCCCATTAAATGGGAAAGTCGCAGATGGGTTCCTCCAAGACAGCCAACAACAGACAACAGGCCCTTTGCCTTGTCTATAGTCCAGAGACATCCTTTGTTTGACATTGGGTGGAGTTCCTCTCTGGCTGCTAGAATTAGCAGCATCTAGACAATTATAGCTGTTGTGTTCTTTTTTGTTTCATTTTTGTTTTTTGAACTTTAATCTTTGGGTACTTAAAATTGGTCTAAAAATAAAGTTCTGTGACTGAAAATGATATAACCAAAGTATGTCAATATGACTGATAAATACTAGGTAAAGGCCTCTGAACTAGTCTTTGGCTCATATCTTCCTGTAACGCTCAAAGAGTTGCAGTTATTTCAACTCATGGACACTCTTAATTCTCTATAAATTGAAGGTCAGGGTCATGGGAAGGTAGAATATGGTGGGTGTAATTTTATTCACATAGGCAGGGGAAATGGTATATTGCAGCTTGTCACTTACATTTGTTGTTCATCAGCTGAGGGCAGAAGATTATAGTATGTAGCATAAAGTAGCCAGGGTAGGCCATGGACAGAATTGACTGTTTATCAGTCTTAATAGTACTGTTTTACACAGCATATTTTTAGATGCTGTAGGTATGTAAGTCATCATTTCTTTAAGATATTTATTGCCTTGTTTCAAAGCAAGTAACATATTTCAGCAATAAGGTCATTTAAAAAATTTGCAACTATAATAGCTGTTACAAATATTTACCATTTTTTCATAATTTTTCCATTGGTGGATTAGTTTATTTGTATCCATTTTATAGTAAAACTGACATTAGAAGGAAACATTCTAAAACCCTTGCTACAGTTTGGTCTCCATTTAATCCTTAATTCAGGACTCAGAACTTTGGCTGATGAAGATGGCAGAAAAGAAGAGATGAACCTGGTTTGCTCACAGCTCGCCACATCTATAGTGCATAAAGACACGGCATGTGGATGCTTTATGTTTCTGACCAATTACTAGTTTCTCTACTGTAGCCCTTCTTTTTAGTCCCGTTGCTTAACCAAATAATACTCTTTAGAATTCAGAGATCAGGGTCAAGAATGCAACTATCAGATCTTCCTAGAATTCCAAACTTATGGCTAGGCTGCAAGTCAGACCATTTTTGAACAGCTTCATCTCTGGAGTTGGCCTCAGAATTTTCCAGCCTGAGTGTCACATGTCTTAATGAAGCTCAAGATCCTAGAGTTGAATTCCTCCCTTGTCATGCATCTAGATGTCAGCTTCCAGGGAACGCCTTGGCAGCATGATGTGCTTCTGCCCGGAAAGCTATGCTTACACCCAGCCACTTTGCAATCTTGCAGACTTCCTAAAATAGGGATAATTTTTGCTGATACTTTCTGATGCAATTTAGTTTTACTGTTTTTGAGATCTTGGCTGAAATAAATGAAGAGACATTTTTGAAAACTTCATATAAAATTATTTTTAACAACTCTAACACTTCAACCTAGATCACCTGGTGAACCAGTTTTCTTTGCATGGCTTACAACGTATGCAGAATTTTTGATGAAGAAATCCTGAAGGCTGCCTAACCTGCATCCTAATCTTGGCATCCTTCTGTTCTATGTCAAAAAAATGGGGATTTTTTTTTTTTTTAAGAAAAGGTAGAATTGTCCTTGGAAATTTGGTCCTTGGAGAAGGCAGCCCATCCTGCTGCCGGCTAGACATGTCTCCTCTGCCCAGGCTAAAATGATTGTCCCAGTGTGGGTCCAGTGTGGTAAGATGAGGGCAGTAGCAAGATGCTACTCCTAGAGTTTTAATTTTTAAATGTCTCAGACGAGTACTGTATCCCTGTACATTGAGAGTTTGTTTTTCTAAAAGAGAAGTTCTGCTTCAGAAGATGGAGGTCCTTGCATCATCTAGTACTAATTTCAGCACTGAATTAAAAAAGCATCCTTGGTTAGAATGCATTATGTCATGTACTTTTTCTTGATAAGATGTGCAAGGAAGATTTCTTAATGTGATTTGGCTATTTCCAAGCTCAACCAAATTCTTTTGCCCAAAATTTGCAGATTATTTCTCATCTTGGATCATGACCACTTTTATTAAAATGCAGTTCCTACATGTGCACATTAATGACCGTGGTTATTTGTCTTCCAGCCTGGGAAGCCTCCCCATGCTCTATAGCTTAGTAGGGGAAAATGCATTTTTTGGTTAGTGTGTGAGCCTGTTAAAACCCATCCCTGTTGGGCAGCAATTGGCCAGCTTGGTTGCCAAAAGCAGAAATTTTCCTGGTCATGTTGCCACTCCCAGGAAAGAGAAAGTCAGAGGTCAAGTACTTCCCCCACCCACTGTTTCTGCTGTGTAGTTATTATTCTTTATTTCCCTAGCCCCTTAGTGTTTATGACAAAATGGAGTAGGGGAAACAGCTTAACCAGACAGAAGATTCGCGATCCCCAGTGTCATTTTAAATTCATTTTTATTGCTTTTACAAGTGTGAAGTCTCTTCAAAGTGCAGCTTCCCTCTTACCTGGAAAGCCTTTCATAAGTCCTTCTTCCGTCAGAAACACACCAAAATTGCCTCAACATCATAGATCCTGATCGTGTTTCCTGTTTCTATCTTTTGCATAATTGGGTTTTGCAAGTTTCTAGCTCTCCTATATAACACCATTCGTTGTGTTAAATCATACCTTGCCTCACAGCAGATCTGGCTGTGGCAGATGCCATGTTATGCTGTAGCCTGAGGGTTTTCACATTGGACTATGAGGAGAATTGAAACCACCGATCCCAAGGGCAATATGAAATGTCCAAAATATATGAATATTTTATCATCCAATCTCCCTCTTATGGCAAAGTTATTTGGCAAAATTATCAGAATTTAAGTCACTCTTTTTCCACAATTAGTAAAGTTTATTTATTGGAGGATGATCTATCTATCTAGTCTAGCCTTTAAGACTCTGGGACCTTAAGTTGCCAAAAAAATGTAAGTTCCGTAGATGATTTTTAAGGATAGGCTAGAGTGTCCCCATCACTTTCTAGGTACACATAATAGAGCCATATTGTACTTGCCTTTTATTTAGGTTGGGGCTGGCCATTTAAGCTTACACTTACTCTAATTTGACAGGAGTGCCTTTTAAGAAATCTTTTTATTGTAAAAAACTTGAAGCATTCACAGAAGCAGAGAGTATAAGTAGCACAGAGAACAGTGATATTCCCATCACCCAACTACCACCTCATTACCTTATGACCCCTGTTACGGATATGTCCTCACACTCTTCCCCCACTGCCCCAGATTATTTTGAAACAAATGACAAACATCCAGCAGGATAGATTTTGAAAAGGAAAACAGCTTAAATAGTCTTTGATCAGTTAAAATGGAAGCCATCAGGAATCAGTCCTGAACTTGGTCCTTGCTGGTACTCTGGAGAAACCAAATGGCAGCCATTGCCAAGCTGTCCAATTCAAGTCTTGACTATATAGTCTGTATTATCTCTGGCTGTTGTCTAGAGACCTGTTAGTCTGTTATGTGTGACTTCTGCAGGATAATGGCTAATAACCCTGTGTTATTGGTTTTGAACCAGTGATATTTATATGAACGTGAGTATGCGTGTGTGTGTGTTTTCCTCTCTCTTTCTCCCCGCCCTCACCCGTGCCCCCAGCTCTATTTTCTGAAAGGGGCTAGAAGCAACAACCTAGTGACAATGGGCACACCTATTTCCCTTGATCTTGGTTTCTGAATACTATTCCGTAGAACCAGGGATGTTTGGGGAAATGTTTGATTGCAGGTTTGGGGCAGAAAAAGTATAAGATGAGCTTGGAATGTCTTGAATCAGAAAAGAAGAAAATACCCAAAGACTGATGGGATACAAAAATTGGTTTGAAGTGCCAAATTTGGGACAATTTGAGATTAAAGAAAAGAATGATGGTAATGGATTATAGAACATTTGTCTTAGTCTGCTCAGGCTGCGATAATAAAATTCCACAGACTGGGTGGCTTAAACAATTTTTTTCTCACAGTTGTGGAGGCTGAAAAGCCTAAGACCAAGGTGCTGGCATATTTGGCCCAGGGTGAGGACTATCTTCCTGGTTTTTAGACAGATGCCTTCTTGCTGTATCCTCACATAGTGGAGAGATGATTAGTGTTCTCATAAGAGCATTAATAATCTCATTATGGAGAATCCACACTCATGACCTCATCTAAATCTAATTACCTCCTAAATGTCCCACCTCCAAATACCATCACACTGGGGATTAGGGCTTCAACATTTGAACCTTAATTAGATATTTTAATTAAAAGTTGCAAAGGACATTTTTGGGGCTGAAGAATTTAAGAATGAGGTGTCATGATATCTGCCACTCACATTCAAATGGTTCAGCAAACACAATGTCTCTATATTTAGAGACAGAAAAAAAGCAAATATAGTAAATGTCATAATTGATGAGAAATGGATTTATAATCTTATTGCACTATTCTTTCAGCTTTTCTGTAGGTTTGAAATTTTTCAAAGTAAAACCAGGAAAAATAAAGTGACAAGAAAAAAAATGAAGAAAAAAAGAATGACAAAGCAACTAAAACAACCTTGTTTTAAGTACAGCCACTAAAACCTGTCTTACTAAATGCAATGACTGGATAAAGGTGCCTGGCTTCTGTACTTTTTATTCTTCTTGAAATCTCAGTGTTTGTTAGGTAAGGGGAAAACTTCTTAATTCTGTATTATATTGTCAAGAAACAAATTGTACACTCATTTATTTCTATTATGTTTGGGGCTACAGTTATACATCAGACTAGCAATTAGTTTGTCTGCTGATTCAACAAATCAGAAACAGGATTATGAATGCCATTGCCTTGTAGCTGAACAAATAGTAATGGAATGTCTTTCTCCTGCTGCAAAACCTCCTATTTTTATCTCCTTAGTGCCTTAGGGTGGCATCCCTTCTTCAAGCCACCATTTGGCTCCTAAATTTAATCTCTGGGCCTCTGTTTCCTTGAATTTTAGCTTCCTGCAGCAGCCATCTCACAAGTGTCACTTGTGTCATCCAGTTCAGTGTCATAGCCCAGCTTGAATCATGTGATTCCGAAGCAGCGGTGGTTTCTATTGCTCCTCCTTGCATCCTTTCTACTAAGACTGCTGAGAGTCAATGGCCTGTAATGACTGCTTCTTATTGCCCCAAACAGAAGTCAAATGGATTCTGCCGCTGAAGAGTGCCTTTTGTTGATGTTGTGGTTGGCCGCTTAAGCCCAAAGTCTATTCTCACTTTAAAAATAAGGTTAATAAAAAAGATCCTTTTTTC